CTTTGATTTCTCTGTCGTGATCATTATCTGACAGCTATGAGCTTCTTGTGGATTATATCCCTTCACAGGGAGGCGAGACCTATTAACAAAATAGCACAATAACAAGAGTTGGAAAGGACTTCCGTTTTCTAGTCTAACTCCCTGTCCAGGCAGGAAACCCTACACCACTTCAAACAAATGGTTCTCCAATTTCTTCTTAAAAACTTCCAGTGTTGGAGCATTCACAACTTCTGGAGGCAAATTGTTCCATTGATTAATTTTTCTGTCAGGAAATTTCTCCTTAGTTCTAGGTTGCTTCTCTCCTTGATTAGTTTCCATCCATTGCTTCTTGTCCTGCCTTCATATGCTTTGGAGAACAGACTGACCCCCTCTTCTCTATGGCAACCCCTTAGATTTTGGAACACTGCTATTATACTGCCCCTAGCCCTTCTTTTCATTAAACTAAACATTTTCAGTTCCAGCAACTATTCTTTATATGTTTTAGTCTCCAGTTCCCTAATCATCTTTGTTGCTCTTGTCTGCACTTATTAGATTGGTCTGCCCTTGGTGACCGATGGATCCTGATGAGTTTCTGAGACAACTGGAGATTATAACTGAACATCTGCCATATAGTCTTACCAAGATAATAATCACTGCATGGAATAGGAGAGCGACAGTGGTTTTAGTCCAAGCAGTGTCTTTTGACCTGTGGATCTTGTCACTCCCCGTGGTATACAGAAGAATTAAGAGAGATGAAACAGATCAAGATATTAATATCTGGCAGGACCATTATAGGGGGAGTGCATCCATTCTCAGTCTTCTTGACCTCTCAGTGGCTTTCAACATCATCCACCATGGTATTCTTCTGGAGCAATTCCAGGAGTTGGAAAGGGGGGAGGGCACTGTGTTTTTCCTGCTTCATTTCCTTCCTGGATGGGGAACAATTGGGTGTACCTGGACCCTAGCAAGTTGGAATGGCTTTGGGTTTGGGGCTCCTTGATTCCTGCTCTAAACAATAACAAAATTCTGAGTTTTCAAGTAGGAAAATTTTACTTGTTAGTGTAGGAATCCTGTAAAGCTTCAATATACTTTGCTTTTCCAGCCTGCACTAAATGGTATTGCAACTGCATAAAATGATATGTGCATTCATACATAAAGATACAGATCAGATTTTTAAAAGCCATAAGAGTAACAGCAAAACAATGTTATCTGGATTCTGCTTAAAGATAGCAATTTCAGAGGAAAACTACAGAGTGCTGTAAAAGCAACTTTAAACTGCTTATTATGTAATAAGGACTTTTCATTTATTTTTCAAAATGAATTGCTTAGAAAACAAATTCTTATTTCATAAGAAAGATGGTAACACTATTTCTACAATTATTTTAAAAACCTTGCTAAACAATGCCAAATAGTCACTGATTTTCAAAGTGTTTGTGGAAGGATTCACCCTTGCTAGTCTGATCATACAAAATGAAGAACAGTGTATGTTCACAGCTTAATTTTATTAGCCAACTGTTGCCACAAGGTTTTTGAACTGTGCAAAGTTGCGAAACCAGCCATATGCAGTGGAAATATATAATATTTTCATAAAACTACATCCAGATTTCAAAAATATTTATGGAACCAATATATATATTTCACTAAGATTTTGATGCTAAGATCATCAAAAATAACATTGTTTCTTGATATCTATTCCACTAAGACCACAGAGAATACTATAAATCAATACAGATGTTATTTTTTTATTAATCCAAGTTAGAGATTAATTCATAGTACAAATAAAAGTTAATATTAAAAGAGAAATTGCTGTGCAACAATGTTTAATCGATGAGTGTATAGTTATATTTTGCCACTCCTACTAATGATTTTTTTCCTTCCAATTGGTCCTGATTCTTTGAGACTGCATGGACAAGTCCCTGCAGTTTTCTTGGCAAGATTTTTCAGAAATGGTTTGCCATTGCTTCCTTCCTAGAGTTGAGAGAAAGTGACTGGATCAAGGTAACCCAGCTGGCTCTGTGCCTAAAGTGGAACCAGACCTCAACCTTTGATGCCGTAAACTGGCATTTAATATTATAATCAGCGGTGGGTTTCAACATTTTTTTCCTACCGGTTCAAAGAGCTTGCTTCACTTTGCACACGCATGTGCAGTGCTCAAACACCGCCCTCGGTATCAACACTAGAAGGAATATATCAATGCCTATTGTGCGTGCATGGCGCACGTATCACATGCATATGCACAGGGCTCAGAGAATACCCTCTTTATCAACGATGGTGAGCTTTGCTGTTTTTTAGTTCAGCTGAGGTGTGGCAATCTGCTCTGCCACACGAATCAGCTAAGCTAATAAACAACAGAATATAGGAGAGGGTGCAGAGGTAAGTGGGGGGTGGGTGGGCGGGGCCAGTCAAAAATTTTCCTACCGGTTCTTTGAACCGGTCAAAATTTTCCCTACCAGTCCATTAGGACCAGTCAGACCGGCTGAATACCACCTCTGATCATAATCAATGGCTTGCATTGGTTAATACTTCAGAAAACTGAAGTTTTATGTACTTTATCTACATTACTCTTGATAAATCATTACAGAGAATTACATACTAAATCTTGGGTGGAAGCAGTGTATTATGGAGTTAATTCGTAGGAAGAAAAAGAGTACAGATTAAAATTGACTCCTCGTTAACTTAATATATGCTATTTGCTTCTCTACAATTTTAGATAATGTCATCTTTCTATATAAGTCTACAGTATTCTATTGAGTTCAGTTGGATTTATTCCTAGACAAGGGAGTACAGGATTATAGTCTCAGATGGAAATGTCATTACATGCTTCATCTCTGACCTTTTAGCGTCACATCATTTTCTTTTCTTTTCCCTTCCTTTATGTTATAAAATTAAAGCCTAATTCATTAGCAGAGGTGTTCATAGAGTGTGGGCAAAAACGAAACCCAAACCACCTATGTTTTATCTTTAATTGCCGTATTATGATCACTAGCTTAATTTGTTTTATCATACTCCATGGACCCCTTTGTTCATTAGCCATGTATATGTCTTTGAATTCATCATTAAAATATTTACATTTTGAATTTTGAATGCTATTACTGTTTTGAATGATATTGAATGTCATTACTGTAGTTGCTCTGAACACCTTGAACCTACTTTGTTCCTTAAGTTAAGCAAACAGCAAAAGTAAAAGTACAAGAATTATTCTCCTGTAATGAAGCATTCCTGGAAATGCATTTGCTTTTTTTAAAGGACAAAATAAAAATGTTAAAGTTAGCAGAATGAATTGATTTGCCAGCTAAAAATGTGATTTAAGGATGTAATTTCTAAACTGAGAGAAATGAAAAAAATGCAACTCAAAGTAGCAGAAGACTGTATCCTGGAAGTTCATTACATGAAGTTATTAGCCCTGCCCTATAATGAGTCAATCTGTCTTCAGAAGGGTCTTGTTTGGTAACCAGAGTGAATATAATTCATTGGAGGAATATTGATTACACTGACGTCCTGAGTGGGCGGCAGGTTAATTGAGAAACGTAGGAAATACAATTCTCCAAAGCAACATTAAAAGATCTACTTAGTGGACACATAATATACAATCCGTTTCATTTAAGTATTGAATCGTATTATCATTTGAGATAGCGATCAACTTTTGCAATAATAATGTAATGTTAATAATAGTTAGTTAGTCCTTGACTTACAACAGTTCCGTTTAGTGACTGTTCAAAGTTACATCACTGAAAAATGTGACTTTTGACTGTTTTTCAGTTATGACGTTTGCAGCATCCCCATGATCATGTGATCAAAATTCAGACGCTTAGCAACTGGTTCACATTTATGACTGTTGCTGTGTCCCAGGATCATGTGATCACTTTTTGCAAACTTCTGACAAGCAAAGTCAATTGAGAAGTCAGATTCACTTAACGACCGGGTTATTAACTTATCAACTGCAGTGATTCACTTAACAACTGTGGCAAGAAAAGTTGTAAAACGGGGCAAAACTCCCTAAATGTCTCACTGAACAACATAAATTTGGGGCTCAATTGTGGTCGTAAGTCGAGGACTACATGCCATTTTATTTCTGCCGTCAAGTTTGACAGGGGGGGAAAAAATAAGCCCACGTCTCATTCTTGTTTATATATAGTCTCTGTTCCGAGGCGAACTCTGAATCCCCACCGTGCGAAACCAAGCAGGTTCTCTCACACGAAAGACACACCCAGGCTGCCTCGACCGCCATACCCACGATTGCCCATTGCAAACAAGCTTCCCACTCGTTCTGCGTTAGTTCCTTGCACAGTTTTTCCTCCACCTTCAAGGTCTAAAAATACAATCCCCTCCTTTTTACAAACGCATTTCCACCTTCCATAAAAACGGACCCTTTGTGTCTGTGTGTGTGTGTCCGTGTACCTGTGGTGTGTGTGAGAGAGAGAGATGCGTGTTTATGCAGCAGATGAAGGCGCCTCACAACTGCACCAGTGTATTATTCTCCGCTCGCATTTGGAGGCGGGAGCGAGACCAGAGAGGCGCGAGCGGCCGCCTGGGATATTTTCAGCTCCCGTTCAAACCCGCTCCCCCGCTCCCCTGTGATGTCAGGTCTACAATACGACTACACATCGCCCGGCGTGTTTTGGAACAGTCTGGGAGCAGGGAAGAAAGAGGGAGGCTGACTCTCCGCCTCGGCCCCGCTCTCTCTGGCTCACCATTGGGCAATTACGTAAATGTCAGCTGCCTTCCCTTTCTTCCTCCTTCGGCCCCCCCTCCGCTTCGCCGAGTTATGCAATATCCAAGCGCACACATCTTACTGTACCCCACACACCGCTCCAACAGGGCGGAGAAAGTGTAAAAAGGGAGGGGAGGGGGAGGCGGGGGCGGGGGGCAGCGGGCTTCGATTCAAGTCTGGTCCTGCCCTGCGGGAGGCCTCCATTGGCTGCTCCCCGAGAAGCGCCGAGCTCTGATTGGCACCACGCAACCGCCCGTCATTGCAAAGGCTGGCAGGAGAATTCGTACGTTGTGAAGAGTGTACAGTATTGACCTACTAACACAGATCTCTCTCTCTCGCTCTAGCGGCGGCGGCGGCGTTGGCGTTCGCGGAGTCGGCAAGAAGACCTAGTTACCGCTCCCTGACGTACTCGCTCGCTCGCGCTCCTCCTCCACCTCACCCGGGAACTGCTTCTGACTGCTTCCAGCAGAGGCAGCGGCGCTCCCATTGATCAGGGGGTCTTCCAGAAAGTCTCTCCTGAGCCTCTCCAGCCCCAGCGGCCGGGCACTGAGTCAGCCCGCTCGCCTCCCAAAGCGGCAACTTGTGAAGAACGCGGGCAGATGCCAAAGGGAGCTTCTGGGAAACTGTCCCACCGCGTTAAAGGAGACCGCTAAAATATAGATGTGTAGGTACTTACTTGCTTACCTACCTACCTACCTATCTATCCGTCTGTCTGTATACCTACCTACCTGTCTGTCTGTCTGTCTATCTATCTGTCTGTCATCTTCCATCCTCTATCACTAAAACCTTCCCTCGGAGTGCATTTGCCATATTTCCCTACGAGCCAATCTTCTTTCACTGGGACACTTAGTGTGCTTGGACCTTCCAGCCGAGCTCGGACTGAACACGTGCCTGTCGCTTATCGGTAAGGCAATGGCCAGCGCCGCTTTGTGCGCATCTGCCTCGATGGCTGTCGAACAACTTTTTTTTACCAGCCTTTGGCATGCCAGCGCGGGACTTCGCCGCCTTAAGATGCTTGTAGGCGCCCCTGGGTGGGTTCAGGCTCCCCGACCTGGAGCGTGACTTTCTGGCCCGCAGGGCTTTGTCGCTTGTTCTTTGCTCCGCGGCGGTCTTGGTTGTTGCGTAATGTAGCTCTTGAATGAGATAAATTGGTGGTTTGGAGGAGCGAAGAGGTTAGGCAAGCTTAAGGCCGGCTGCTACTGAGCAATCGCGGCAGAGCTGGAGAAGAAGGTTCCTTGTTTGAACAGGGTTAGGGAAAGAATTGAATGCGAATGAGCTGCTTGTCGGGGATGGGGTAAGAAAAATACCTCTCTGCAAGCTGCCGCTGTTTTATTGGACTTCTTTTCTAGGCGCACGTTTTAGCTGTATGAATGTCTTAAACAGCCAGAGGGGAGGTTGGTGCGACTTGTTATTTCATACATTGCATAATCCGTCCATGGTGAACTACTGGCAAGCACTAATATAGGGGCGAGAACGTGCAGTGCTTGGAGAATTTTCGCTTAGCGCTGTGGAATTCTGTGTCTCGTTACACATTTCATCTCTTCTGGATCTTTTACAGAAAAATGTATTTTGAGAAACGATACAGAAACTTTCAAGCAAGTGTCCACTGTTATCCTCTAGAATCCTTTTCAAAGAAAAGTCCTTACGTTCCAGAATTCAGTTTAAAACAACTGTAAAACGCGTAACAAACGGTTGTCTTCTAAGCACTTCTTTTTTAAGCTTGTGTGCGTATTTGCTGCCGTTTGCTCTCTACTGGCAACTGGTTTTCTAGCAATGCATTTCTTTGATCGTTCCTGGAAACGTTGCATTATGTAACCATAAAATTTGCTGGCAGTGAGGCTGGGAAGGTAATTACGTGATTTTATAAATCTTCCCGCGAAGGAACTACAGCAATTCACCCCGATTTTTTTTTTTTTTAAAAAGAAAGCGTTAGACTAAGAGATGTCCAAATGCCTCCTTCCCAGCCCCAAAACCCGCCTCGCCCCTCTGGAAAAGTAAATCGGTGGTTAAATGGAGCGACAACTCGGCTTGTTGAATATGTGCCACGTCCCTTAAAATGAGAATTGAGCACGACTATATTTAGCTCCATCACATTGAAGCAATTGTAGCTTCCTGGGCTATTTCTGGTCTTTTCTCCAGAACTGTGCAAATAGGCGTTCAAGGACATTTGCTCGCGTTTTGAACTCCACGCCTTCGGAGACGTTCTGATAAGGCTGGTATTTTTAGGAAGGCATCTCGCACAGACGTCAAGTGGCTTGGTAGGTGTCGGTTTTCGTGCATGATCTCTCATCCACCCACCCCCGCCAACCTCCCCCCCCCCCCCGACAAACACAGACCTATTAGGAGATCATTACGTGTTTCGGGAAAAGTGAGTGTCTAGTATCTCATTGCCCCCTGCAGATTGTATTGAAGAAACGAGATCCGTGCTGACACGGGAGACGAGGGGGCAGCCGTTAGCTTCTGCCTGCTGTGATCTATGTCACTTGGTCAGAAGCCTGCCGTGCAAAGCGCAACGTAAGATGCTCTCGCACAATCTGCCCCCAGTTTTTCTTTGGCGGCGGCGGGGGGTGGGGGGCAGAGGGTCCCCCACTTTTTGCAGCGATTACATTGAAAAACGGCCCATTCCTTACGAACCCTGAACTATTGAGGGCGGGGGGCCTGGAATCAAATTGTAACCCCCTTTGAAAATGTTCCTGCTGGCTCTTCCAGCGCGCGAGAGTGAAGGGGACGAGGAGGCGTTGCCGACATTCACAGCTTTCTCCCCGGTTTTTTCAAACGGGGCTGCTCTGGTCATTCGTGTCCGCTCTGGCCTCGCCATGCGGGCTAGTGAAGAAAGGAGGAGCGAGGCGGCGCCGGGCTGGGGCCACTCTTCCTGGGTGCCGGAAGGGGGTGCCCTGGGCGAGCGTCCCCGGGGCGGAGGGCCACGGCGGCAACTGGAGAGCGAACCGGAGGACTCGCAGCAGCCCTTAGGCGTTGGTTGTTATGACTGGGCGAGAAACGCGCGCTGGAAGGGCCTGGCTGGAGGGCGCTGCCTCGGCGCCTCGCATTCCTTTGTTCTGCGGAGGGCGGGGGGGGGGGGGGAAAGGCGGCAGGCAGCGCTCCAGTGAGGCGAAGGCGGGGCGGGGGGAGGAGAGCGCGAGCCCGGCTGGCTCGAGCAGGAGTAAATAAAGCAGGGATAACAGTTGTTTTGTACTGGCGGAGCGAGAGCAGAACAAGCTGGCCGGAGGGAGGGATGCGTCTCCAGTCACGTAGTGTGTGTACTCGCGCTGTTCAACGCGGGGATGGGAGGCAGGGGCGGGAGGGCGGCGAGCTCCTCCCTGCCTCCCTCTCCCGGCTCCTTCTTGCCTTGGAAATGGAACTGGGTTAAGCCAGCCGAGAGAGAGCGCTTTCCCTCCCCAGCCGGCGGCCTGAGGGACCCCTGCCCCTTTGTGCCTCACCTTGCCGGAATCTCGCCCAGGCATTCCGCCGATTTGCCTGAAGTCCAATACATTTGGAAATCTCCAAGTTGGAGAAGTCTGGGGAAATAATTTGGGTGAAGGGTGGGCTTAGCTAGGACTTTGCATCTTCGGTGCTGCGAAGCAAGGTTTTAAAAAGTCTGCGATATCCATTGCTTGGTCAGTGACGAAAGGAAAGTACAACTGGCATTTCCAGAATCGAATAAATCACCACCAATTTTAGTTATTTTCTCTATTTTCTCTTTCCAGGGGCAGGATGTACAAACATGCTAGGATTTTTTTTTCTTTTGTTAATCATGAGTTAATTGTTGCCTTCCTCCTAATATTATCTACAAGGAAAATAAGGTTTCCCAGCTAGTTTATTTTTGTTCAGAAGTAAATCAAGCTGCAATCCTATTTTGTACATCAGTTTCTTCCACTTGCTAAAATTTGTGTGGGATCACAAGTCCTGTTTGCTGGATGGGTGATGCCTACACTCCAGGAAATTTAGATTAGCTTCCATTCTGCTGATCAACTTTCCTGGATCTTATTATATAGAGGTCTGGCAATTGTTTAATATTGAATTTCCTAGTTTTGTCAAAATCTGGTAGTGCTACTACCGTAGATATTGCATATTACAGATATAGAAATATTTGCCTTTGATATGTTTTAGCTGATCCACTGATCATTGAAAATGAGAAGATATCTTCATGTGTACCACTTGATTGTACATGTGTGAATCCCAATCTAGATTAAACGTTAATTAAGCTTTTAGGACAAACTCTTTCAATGTTTTGGAATTGTAAAAATATAAATTTCTCAGTATCGTGATTAATGTTCGTTTGTTAATTTTTCAAATAATTGCTGTCTCCCCAATTGTTCCTACCTGGTCTACCAGAACTGGCTGAGGCCATGCTCTGTGGGCACTGTTGGCTAGGGAATGTCAGCTGGCAGTGCCCAAAGGGAGAACCTTTTCCGCCATGGCACGTGCACAAGTTTTGTTTTGGCCCTGTTAGTCTTTCAGTGGCCTGAAAACCTTGACTTTGTGACTAGGCCTGAACATGTGATGTGTGTGATGTGAGCCCATCTACTGGTTGTGTGGATGATTGGTTAGAATACGCCGAACTGCTATTTTTTCTATTGTATATTTTACAATTTTTTGTTTTTGTTTTATTGTACACCGTCTAAAGTCACATAAAAGTGAGATTGGTTGCTATATAAATCATGTAAGCAAAAATATGGTAGAATAAACTCTCACATAGGTTGTACTTCAAATATGTACAAAAATATGGAACTTCCATAGTTAGCAAACTATATCATGTGGGTTTCCTTCTCTTGGAGCAAGAAAGCTTTAGCTTATAATTAATACTTCATGGGCTCTTACAAAAGCAGTATAGTTCAGCAAAAAAATACCATGACCATAGACAAAAGGAACTTAGAGCCCAAATGTGCCATAAATACTTTGGGTGGAGAGGAGGGAGCACATGAGCAGTTCTTTCCCACCTGCATAGACTTTGACAAATAAATGGTAGAATACATCCTAGTGCTTCTTGAATGTTTTCAGATCATAGGAATTCTTCGTTATAATATTTTATTTTTATTTTTTTTAATCCACAGATAATACTGGTAGGTACAAAATTATAGTTCCCTCTTTGGAAATGTCTTATATTGCCCAGCTTTCTTATGAAGGACTAACTAATCAAAAACAATCTCCCATCAAAGTTGCTCAATTTTATTATGTAATTTAGAATCAACCCAAAGGAATATCAGATGGAATTGGTCATCCTACTGTACTACCACTTGACAAAATATGTATAAACAAATCCTAATCATTGACCTGTCTAGCACTATGGGTTATGCTTATTGAATAGGTTATGCAGTTAAATATACTTCTTAGTCATAACTGACTGCACAATCCTACATATATCTACATGAAGTAAACCTTATTATTGCCTAACATGGTTAGCACATAGCAATTGTAGTCCCACATATGGACAGGAAAAAATAAATGCTATTGTACTTCATTGAGTCAGCAAAATCAATTGCCTGACTTGCTGATTGACATGGTTTGTTTGGGACAATGTATAAAGTGTATGGTAGTGTAGCAACGTAACATAAAATTAAATAGAAAATTGAAATAAAGGACTTTGGATTTGAAAGTGTAAAATGAGAATAATGACACCGAAGTTGAATGTGAAGAATGTGCCCATGTATTTTGTATAAAAATTAAAACA